TATGGGGGGGCAGTATGGGTGGCAATGTGTGTATGGGGGGGCAGTATGTGTGTATGGGGGGCAGTGTGGGGGGCAATGTGTGTATGGGGGGGGCAGTATGGGGATCAGTGTATGTGTGTAGAGTGTGTGTGTGTGATAAGGGTGGGGGGCTTTTTTTAAAAAATACTTTTTTTAAATTTAGTTTAATATAAATAATCATTATGTCCCCCCTCCCTTCTTACCTTTGCTGGGGGGAGGGGGGACATTTCCCTGGTGGTCCGGTGGGCGATTAATTGGTGGTCCTAGTGGGGAGAGTGAACTCTAGCCCGCGCTCCCGGGCTAGAGTTCACTCTCGCGAGATTTGAAGCGTTGCCGTGGTAACCGCGGCAACGCTCCAAATCTCACGAGAGGAGGACCCGGAGGAGCTGCAGACTGAGCTCCGGGTCCTCTCTCACTCCCTCTCCCTCCCCCGCCGGCCGCCAGCACAGTGCCTGCGGACCGGGGAGGGAGATCTGTGATCTCCCCTCCGGTCCGCAGGCACATTGCAGGGCTAGCACCTGCATGTGCCGGCAGGAGAGGGAGACCGGCGGATTTCTCGGGGGGGGCAATTGCCCCGTTGCCCCCCCCCTGGATCCGCCACTGAGTGCAAGTGCCCTCTGCCCCTAATTTACAGTGGCTCACACTCACAACAAGCAGTGCCTGGAGCCGTGAAGGAGCGGGTATGGCAAAGAGCTACTGATTAGCATAACATCAATATCCGTTATAAAACCAGGAAAAGGTGGGCATGGATGGTGAACTGATTTGGTGGTGCAATGGGCCACTTGACTGGTTTTGCCCCCCAGGCCTAAGGCTGCCAGCCCTCCCCTGTCTGTATGTGTGTCAATGTTTATATCTGTATGTGTATCTGCGTGTCTGTATGTATATGTGTGGCAGTGTTTGTATCTGCATGTGTGGCAGTGTGTTTATCAGCATGTCTGTTCAACTGTATGTATAGTAGTGTTCCCATCTGTTTGTCTGCATGTGTGGCAGTGTTTGTACCTGTGTCTTTACATTTGTATATATGTTAGTGTGTGTATAAGCAGGGCCGTCTTTAACGCAGGGCAAACGGGGCAGCTGCCCCGGGCCCTGTCCCAGCTGGGGGGCCCAAGACAGCTGCTCCTTTTGCCCTCTGCCCGCAAACTATGGGGGCCCATCGGGTGGCCCATGCACTTAGGGCCACCCGGTGGGCCTGTGTCAGCAGGGGCCCGGTCAGGCGCTGTGGCGCTTTAACAGCGCGACCGGGCCCTTGCTTTTTCGGCAGCACTGGGAGGAAGTGACAGCCGCGCGTCACTTCCTCCCACAGAAACAAGAGCCGCGCGGGAGGAAGGAGCTGTTCCGGAGGGGGCCAGGCCGGGAGAGCTTAACTCCCAGCCACCCCAGCCAGCCCACTGGACCCCAGGGAAGCCACCCTCCAGGAAAAGGTAAGAAACTGGAGGGTGCTTATCAAATTTTGCATGAGTGTCTGTGTGTGTGTGTGTGTGTGTATGTATGTATGTCTGTGTGTCAGTATGTCTGTGTGTGTGTCTGTCATTGTATGTGTGGTTCTGTATGTCTGTGTTTGTCAATATGTCTGTCAGTGTCTGTGTGTATGTGTGTTTCAGTATGTCTGTCAGTGTGTCAGTATGTCTGTGTGTGTGTGAGTCAGTGTCTGTGTGGTTCAGTATGTATGTGTGTATGTGTGTTTCAGTATGGCTGTCTGTGAGTGTCAAAATGTCTGTATGTGTGTACGTCTGTCAGTGTCTTTGTGTATGTGTGTTTCAGTATGTCTGTCTGTGTGTATGTGTGCAATAATGTCTGTATGTTTGTCAGTGTGTCAGTATGTCTATGTGTGAGTCTGTCAGTGTCCATGTGGTTCTGTATGTCTGTGTGTATGTGTGTTTCAGTATAGCTGGCTGTCTGTGTGTGTCTCTGTGTCAGTACGTCTGTCAGAATGTGCCTTTGTATCTGTATGTTGTCCGTTTGGGTTTGTATCTATATATAGTCAGTGTGTATCTGTATGTGTCCGTGTTTGTATATGTATATCTGCATGTGTGTCAGGTTGTGTATCTGTGTGTCTGTATGTGTGTCAGTGTGTGTGTCGGTGTATCTATATGTAGTCAGTGTGTGTACCTTTGTATCTGCATGTATCAGTGTTTGTATCTGTGTATCTGCATGTTTGTCAGGTTGTGTATCTGTGTTTGTGTCTACCTGTGTGTCAGTGTTCTATATGTAGTCTGTGTGTATCTATATGCGGTCAGTGTGTATCTGCATGTGTGTCAGGTTTTGTATTTGTGTGTATCTATATGTAGTCAGGGGGCCCAAGTTAATGCTTGCCCAGGGTCCAATCAGAATTAAAGACGGCCCTGTGTATAAGTATGTCCTTGCAACTATATGTATGTCAGTGTGTGTATCTGCATCTAGGCCAGTGTGTGCATCAGTGTGTCTGTGCAACTGTATGTGTGTCAGTGTTGGCATCTGTGTATCTGCATGTGTAAAAGTGTTTTGTCTGTCTGTACATCATGTGTCAGTCTGTGTGTCTGTGTCTATGTGTGTCAGTGTTTTCTCTGTGGGTATGTGCATGTGTGTCATTGTGTCCATGCAACTGTATGTGTGTCTCTTCATTTGCATTTGTAACTCAGTTCTTGTATCTGTGTCTATGTATCTGCATGTATGTCATTGTGCATCTGTGTTATGTATCTGTATGAGTGTGTCATTGTTTGTATCTGTGTCTGTACATCTGGAGGTATGTCAGTGTTTGTAACTGTATCTGTATGTGTCAGAATGTGTATCTGCACGTGTGTCAGTCTGTGTGTTTGTGTATCAACATGTGTGTATCTGCACTGTGAGGAGCCTGGAACAGAGGAAAGAGGGATATGGGACAGAGAAATGCATATACATTTTAAATAACAAATGGGCTGCCAAGAGGTACTCGAGAAAAAAAAAGGTTGGGAACCACTGATGTGGAGGATTGCTGGGAATGTTGGAAACTACAGGACCAAATATGACCTGTAGTCTTCATTTGTGGAAATCTGGCAAATTGATTTTCTGGGCCTTTTTCTTTCCTGGGCCTTCCATGTGGTCTCAAAGACGACAATTACTCCCATCATTGGGCATACATACCATGTGCAAAAGTAGACAACCCAGGGTATTCAAAATAGGGTATGTCTAATCATGTTTATTTTTTTATTTTATTTCTTATTTTTATATTTCAGATTGGTATATAATTGCAACTTGTCTAAGGATATACCTTTTTTTTTCCCCGTCATTATTTATCTTTCATTATTGATTAAAACCCTTCTTCCTCCCTATCCACCCCACTCCATCTCTTCCCCTAATGTTCACCATCTCCTGTCCCTGCACCCTCTATCTTATTTTTATATATTGTATTATAGGGTATTGCCATCTATCTCTAGGTTATGGCTAGTACACTTTAAAAAAAAAAAATTTTTTAAATGTCAACAGATGAGTAGACAAGAGTAGGAAATGCAGATTAATTGTCATTCCTAAAGTTGGATTACTAAAAACATTATTTAATATTCCCTGTTTCCGTGAAAATAAGCCCTATCTTATTTTCTGGGGATGCTCGTAATATAAGCCCTACCCTGAAAATAAGCCCTAGTCATTAGTTTGTTAATCTATGTTCGGGCAGCCGCGATATTGGAGACTACCTCCGCACAACCTCGAGGCCAGACACAGCCAAGATGGCGCCGGCTGAGGTCTACACGCCAACGTCGTCGGACGATGACAGCGCTGCTGCCGACCCTCTACCTCCTTCCCGGCCACGCTCAGGGCCACAAACAGCTACTGAGCTGGCAGAGTCTGCACCATCAACCAAAGCAGACATCAGGGCACTAATGGCTGAAATAAAAAAAAGTTTAATGCGCATATGGCCCCGATCCGAGAGGCGGTCACAAAACTGACAAGGTACAAGCACTGGAGGAAGGACTGGAGGGCACCAAACTGGCCCAATCAGCCACTGATGCAGCTATAGGCGCGCTCCAGAAACAGTGCGCAGACCAACAAGTGCAAATAGCCACTATGGAGGACAGAGCCAGAGTCCGCAACCTAAGAATCCGGGGAGTGCCGGAGACGATTGCAGGGGCAGAACTCCCCCACTACTGCCGGAGACTGATCACCACACTGCTCATGCCCAAACAGGTGAAGCAAGTGGTGGTAGACTCTTGTTTTCACCTCAACAAGGCTTCCAACACCGCTCCAGAAGCACACAGGGACATCCTGCTAAAACTGACCCGAGACTCCGACCGCGGAGTGATAATGGGGGCAGTGAGAGGCTCCTCCACAGTATCATTTGAGGGGGCACAGCTGATGTTCTTTCAAGACTTTTCAAGACACACTTACCTGGCGGAGATCCCTCAAGCAAGTCACCCAGATATTGCAAGAACACACTATCCCTTACTGATTGGGTCCACACTTTTCTCTAACACCTAGGCATACCAGCGGAGAAAGCGCTACAAACGAAGCACCCAACATGGACAGTTGCTGGAATCACACCTTTTGTACCTGGAAGGGGGAGACGTGAGATGGACA